TGGTTTCACAATTGCTTTCCCCAGCCAGGCAAGGGGACTGCGGTCAGGACTCGTGGGCCTTTGCTGCTGCCCTCCCCGAGCTGGAGTAACATCCGCAATGGGGAGACCACCTGAATTACATACCCTCCTCCTGCATTGTTCAGCGGCTGACCATGCTCTTCCATGGGAAGAGCAGGCATCGCAACTGCGCCTCCTGCATTTGTGGTCTGGGGAGAAGGCCGGGCTTGAACAAGATGCAGGCAGGGGAAGCCAGTCTCAGCGTGTCGTACGCTGCCAGCCAAGAGGAAGAGGAGCGAAAGGCAGCGCTCAGAGAGAAAGCTGTACCCTCCACTGTGGAGTAGCACATGCACCCAGGCTTGTACATGGCCTTGCACCTGTTTATAGAGGAGGGCGTGACTGAATTTGCAGGGCGGGGTGTTGTAACCAGATTCAGCCGTCAGCTCACAGCTCCTCCTGATGAAGGGCCAGTAGCATCACTGCCCCTGGGCACCAACTAAGAGGGACTGGAAGATAGGCAGCCACGGCCCAGGGCACAAAATGGCTTGCCGTGCTAGCTGTGCGTCAGCCCTCAGCTTTCCTTCAGCTGTCACCGTCTCCATCTCCGCTCTAAGCGCCCTTGGAGAGCTGCAGGATGATGCCGCAGTTAGATATGCGCAGGGCGTTCCACCCCCATCTATAATCAGATCACGTCAGAGCCAACATGGAGGAACCTCCTTGGATGCAAGTCCCAGCTCGTTTGCTCGTCCATTATGCATAATGAGAACGTGATTAGGAATCCTGTTTGACCCCCGGGATGCCAGAACGGGGTGGGCTGCATGAACAGGAAACACCCAGATGTCACGAGCTATAAATCTGATGACCAGGAAACGTGCCCAAGGAGACAAGGAAGTGAAAGGGCAGAGCACAGGACCATTTCCATGGCACAGAAATCTATTGTTACTTTGAGGATAAAACCATGGGTGGATCTAGGATTTTGAAGAGCAGGGTGCAGATAGTGAGGTGCATCATCACATATAACACAACACACATTATTTCTCCAGGTAAAAAGTAACTAAAAGCTTTACAAATACGCCCGGGGCCTAGGGGCTGTATTATTCCATTTAAGATCAAAGGAAAAAAACAAATATAATTTCATTGGAATGAGTTAAAAACAGCCTGCAGTGATGTGAAATGGGAGCTTTGTGAGCAAGAGCAGAGGACAGCAGAACTGCAGTGCAAAGGTTAGTCTGATTGGTGGAACAAAGCCATTAAAAAGAAGAGCGGGTTGTTAACACCTGTGGAGTGAAGAGTTTAGGAGGAATCAGGTAGGTTACAATGAGCCATGAAGTCAGTGCTGCTGCCACTGCCAGGCAGCTGGTTTTAACCCTTGGGGGGGAGCAGAGATCAAAGGGGGGTGCAAGTGCACCAGTGCAGCCCCCTGCATTCACCCCAGTAAAGACCACGGAGCTTCAAGAGGGCAGTGGAGAGAGCAAGGAATGGGTTTGTGGCTAGGACATAGACCTGAGACTTGGGAGCTCTGGACCCAGTTTCGGGCTCTTCCCATGTCTCCTTGGGCAAGGCATTTCATGTCTTTGTGCCTCCGTTCCCTGCAGTCCCATCTTCCCACCGCTGACCGATCTGCAGGGCGAGCAATGCAGGGCAGGGGTTACATCATACTACACGTTTGTACAGCACCGAGCACAGCAATGCCACAACACTGGCTGGAGGAGCAAGACGCCACGGTCACACAACTAGAAAATAGCAACACAAAATACATCGGCATATCAGTCCCTTCAAGAACATAAAGCAGTTTTCAACCATCAGAGGTTCACCCAGACCAAGCAAGGGCAAACGAAGCCTGCGGTGATCGGTTCTGCATTGCCGACAAAACGAACAAGTGCCTGAACCAGCGCGCCCCAGCCCTGCTTGCAAGGCTCCCAGAACAGCAACCTGCAAGGCTCCATGCTTTGCAGCAACTGCAGGAACTTTGCTGGAAACGCCGAGACGTTTGACCCGGTTTAGTATGTAAAGAAGCCAGGGTAAGACTCACCGAGGGATGTGGTCTCTTACACAGAGAGGAACAAGGGAGACTGCGAGTCCTACGGGGAAACCCAGCCACGTCCACATTGTGGGTGCCTCTTTTAGCATCGGAGGATGCCCAAGTGCACCTTCTCCCATTCACAGGCAACGTCGCACCTGACACCCCATCATCCCTCAGATAAAACACACAAGGCCTCCTGCATATGCCCTCCCCCCATGCTTGAGGCTGCCCTGAAGGAGGAGGCCGGAGATAAAGCTATTCCATGGAGCTCACCACAAGTGCGACCTAATGCGGATACGAACTCAGCTGAAAGCCCCTGCCTGGTTTGCTCTCGCTGCCGCCTATAAAGGCCCCTGCCTCCATGCCTCTCTTGCCCAAACTCATCATTTATATTACACGTGCACTGACCAGCACCCGTCAGAAATCAAGGCCTGACTACTAGCCACAACGAGGACTGAAGAGCCACAAGGCATTTAACATACAGCACCCAGCAGGACCGACAACCAGCCTTCCACGTCCTCCTCTTCCTTTCAAATATCCCTTTTGAGCATTGCGTTTTCTGGAGGAAAATTAAGCTCCCAAGGATTTCTCTCAGACAGTTGTGCTGTTATCATTCCTGACTCAAATCCACTAGACATCTAGCAATTGCTGTGCCAGCCCCTACATGGAAGGCGTTCAAACCCTCACAAAAAGTCACAGGTGCATGGAAATACACCCCCAAATCCACAGGAGCCAGGCACCGGACGCACAGAGATGCACAACAAAAACGCTCCAGATGGAGCCAACACCCAGGCATTGCTGGAGGCCAAGAAGAGTGCTCCGGCTCCTCTCGGGTGTTGTAATTCTGATGTTATGAGCTAAGGAGCAGCCAACTCGACACGTCCATGAGAAGCAGCTGTCAGCAAAGGGGCTTCTCTAGGCACAACCGACTTCCGAAAGCAGGGTTTCTGCTGTGTTATATTCAAGTCCTGGGGATCTCTGCACTAAACTGAACTCACAGCTTACCCATGTGTCCTCTACAGCAAAGCTGGGCTCGTCCTGGTCACCCCCCTGTGCACCTCCACCAGAAGGGAAACCAACAGCAGAGTTTCCTCTGGCATCCATCAATACAAGGTGGCATCTAAAATGCCTTATGCCAATGCAGAGGACCTGGCCCTACTGAGTTTATTCAGGACTTAGGGGCCATTCTGGGTGGTTGGCTCATTCCTTTCTCCTATTCCACACGTTCCCATATCCTGGCCCAAAGGCAGCCCCAGAAGCTGGCAGGCCCCTTGCTATCCGGTACCGAACGCAGCGCGGTTATCATAAGGAAGGTTTTGCACTCAGTACAGACCATGTCGTGGGGTCCTGGCCAGCTTCTGCCTTGAGCCCAAGCTCAGGCTCCCTTTTGAAGTTTGCATGTGGACCGTTCACAACCAAAAATCAGGTGCTCAAACTGGCTGGCCAAACCTTCCCCAGGCAGTTGGGGAGCATTTAATGCCCACACTATAGCCAATGAGTCTATTGGAGGGGGGGCATTAAAACCTTGCAGCTCCCATGCCCACCGCACTGTCAGGGCAGGAGACCCAGCTACCGGAGGTGGGGGATGTGGCAGGCTCAGGGAGGCAGGTAACTGCCCCATGAGCCATTCCCCGGCAGCTCCTGCCCCTTCACCCCACACGTAACCCCCTCGTAGCCATGCAAGCAGAGTGGGCATGGGATAGCAGCACCTTAGACCTGCTGGGCTCTGGGGAAGGGCACAGCGGGCAGAGCCCTCCTGTGCCCAGGGGTGCCCCCACAGCGAGGGGTGGGTGACAGGGGGTACCTCTGCACACCCAGAGCAGGCAGATGGCAGCTGCTTCCCTATCCCAGGGCAGCGCCAGCCCTGGACTCGCTGCGCTCCAGCCACCCGCCAGCTGCAGCCGAGTCCGCGCGGCCGAGTCCAGGGGAGCCGGGCCGGGCCAAGCTGGGGGGCAGGCACTTTGCAGGGAGTTCTGGAGAGCAGCGTGGAGCCACGCTGCCTTCGCCTGCAGCTCTGATCTCCTCTCCACCTGCACTCTCCGGGGAGCCGAGGCTCTTGGCAAGCTTCCCCCTTCTATTTTTATTGGTTTCAACTGAGCTGCCCCTTTCGGAGGCTTGGAGAACTCCGATAATTAAAAACAAAAATGCTGCGTCCGTCCCTCCCTCCCTCCCTCCTTCCCCCACCCCCCAGTGCTCAGCTGGGGATGCCTGCGAGCTCGTCTCCCTCTCAAGCACACACATCCACCCCTCCTTGCTACTGAAAGCCAAGGTGACCCAAAGGGGAAAAAAAAATGTGCTGGAGCCCAAGGGACAGAAGCCCCTGGGAATCTGCAGCCGCCTGCACCAGGGCACGCCAGCCTGGCACACAGCCCCTCTGCGGGGAGAGGGCAGGTAGGTATTAGCATAACGCCTGCTTAACAGCTGCAAACATACTTTGGTCAGCACTGGCATCTCGGAGACGGGGGTCTTCAAAAGGCTCATGCCACCTTTGAAGCCCCCCGCCAAAAAAACCAACAACCAGCCATCCTCCAGCAATTCCCTCCCCACCTCCAAAAAAAATGTTAATAGCTTTGAACCCAGGGAGCTGGGGAAGGTGGGAAGCCTGCAGGGGGAAGCGCAGCCCCTCAGGTGAAAGCTTTGCTCCTTTTCAAATGCATTTTTGCGAGCACTTAAAACACAGGTTAGCAAGGCAAGGGTTTGCCGCGGCGGCCCCAGGGGAGGCCTGCCCAGAGCAGGCAGCTCCCAGCTCCGTATCCAAACCAAAGCTCCCCAGCACCCAGGGCCCCGACAACAGGCACATCAGCACCAGCATCAACATCAGCAGCAGAAAAACCAGTTAAAAAGGAAGGGGAGGCGGGGGAGAAGAACTGAATAAATAAAAGTCAAGAAATGAAAGGCTCCGCTCCCGGCTCTGCAGGGCAGGCAGCCCTGAAAGGTTAGACACCAAGTGCGTTTACCTTTAAAATAATGACTCATTTTATTTTTTTTTCATTTAATATGTAGTTATAAATATATTTTGTCAAAATATATGATCATTATTGTCAAAACATTTGCACATAAAAGTCATAAATAAGGTCAAGGTGAACGTTTAGTTTAGAGTCTGGCTGGAACGAGCAGTTCTGGGGTCCGGGGAGGAGGGCAGGGAAGGAAGGGAGAGGGGGGTGGGGGAGGGAAGGCGAGGGGGTCAGCGGCACCCGCACCCCTCCACCACCATCTCCTGGTAGTTTTTCAGGACCACTTTGTCATACTCATCTAGGTAGAGCATGGAGATGGCGCTGAGCTCGGTGGGCACACAGCACGCCTTGGGGATGCTGGCGTTGACGGAGTTGACCAAGGTCTGCACGATGGCGTGGTTGGTGGAGTTCAGGTGGTCGGCCAGGGGGAAGGGGCAGTCTCCGTGGCAGTAAAAGGCCTGGTACCCAGGCGGGGCCACGATCCAGTCGTTCCAGCCCACGTCGCTGAAATCCACATAGAGCGCGTGGCGCCGGCAGTTCTTTTTGTTCTTGCGGGGCCGCTGGTGCTTGGGGCTGCGCTTGGCTCTCCGCACCAGCGCGTGGCCCTTGCCATCGTGGCTGAAAGTCACCAGCAGGGGCCGCAGCTGAGCCCAGTCCCCGTCCCCTTGAGGTAAAGATCGGCTAATCCTGACGTGTTTGCCCTGATGCGCGGGCGTCTGGCCGAGGTGGACCACCTCCACCGCCAGGCCGTGGTTGGGCTGCTTGTCCTTGGTCCACCGGATGACGGCGGGGCTCACGTCGAAGCTCTCCCACCGCGTCTCGTTGTGATGCACCAGCCGCGTGTCCAGTAGTCTCGTGATCATTTGCCCCCGCTCCTCGGAGAGGGGCTTCATGACTTCGTAAACGTTGATGCTGGGGAAGCCCCTCTCCCAGCCGGGGCTCTGCTCCCGGACCTGCTCCCGGTACAGCCTCAGCTCCGCCGAAGAGACCACTTCGTTGTCGGGCACGCTGCTGAGGTTGAAGACGAAGCGAAGGCGGGGGGCGGCGCTGGGCCCGGGGGGAATCCCGCAAGTCAAAAATACAAATCACCCGGCCACTCGGGCTCCGAGCCTTGCTGGCTGAGAGCTACGGTTTACCCCCCACACCCAGAAAACTGCACTGCCAAAGACCCAGGGTAGCAATATCCCCCCCGTCCTGCCTGGACACACACAGACACAAGACACACATTCACAACTCGCTCCAAAACCCTAGTGAACAGCACTGGACCCTGCTGCTTAGCTTTTCAAGCAGCTCAGTTTTAAAGTTTTTTGAAAACTGCTCTCCAACCCCCCCCCTTAAGGATCTCTCTCAAAGGCTGTGCCATCACGGCAGGGAGGAGAGAGAAAACCCCACAGAGCGCTGCCTTGTTGAACCCATTACCGGGGGGCGTGGGGGAAGAAAGTAAGTTTGAAGTCCGTAATGATGCTGGCGGATTAATAACGCAGATTTACTTTGGAAAAGAAACATCCGCTAGGAAACATTTGGATCGGATTACAAGGCCCCATTGAACCAACCTTACAAACGCGCAGCTGTAAGGATTACATTCAAGTCCTGATTTTTTTTTTTTTTTTTTTTTAAAGGGCAAAAACACAGGCAGGGACCGGCTTCCCTAGCTGCAAACCCACAGCCTGGGGAGGGCTGGGATCAGGCAAGTGCCAGCTGGATAGCCAGGGGGGACATGGGTTTGGGAGCCAGGAGGGCTCCCCGCAAGCCCTGGAGGAGCCCGCTTGAGGTGCTGCGTCCTGGGTGAGGAGCTGGGAAAGCCTGGAGGACTCCCCGCAAGCCCCGGGAGAGCCTGTTTGAGGCATTGGGTCCCGGGTTAGAAGCCCATTTGAAGTGCTGGGTCCTGGGTTAGGAGCCGGGACAGCCTCAGGGGCTCCCTGCAAGCCCCGGGACAGCCCATTTGAGGTGCTGTGTTAGGAGTTGGGACAGCCTGGGGGGACTCCTCGCAAGAGCCCACTGGAGGCACTAGGTTAGGAGCTGGGACAGCCTGGGGGGCTCCCTGCAAGCCCCGCTGGAGGCGCTGGGTTCTGGGTTAGGAGCCGGGACAGCCCGGGGGGGGCTCCCGACGGGGGCTCCCTGCAAGCCCCGGGACAGCCCATTTGAGGTGCTGTGTTAGGAGCTGGGACAGCCCGGGGGGACTCCTCGCAAGAGCCCACTGGAGGCACTAGGTTAGGAGCTGGGACAGCCTCGGGGGCTCCCTGCAAGCCCCGGGACAGCCCATTTGAGGTGCTGTGTTAGGAGCTGGGACAGCCCGGGGGGACTCCTCGCAAGAGCCCACTGGAGGCACTAGGTTAGGAGCTGGGACAGCCCGGGGGGCTCCCTGCAAGCCCCGCTGGAGGCGCTGGGTTCTGGGTTAGGAGCCGGGACAGCCCGGGGGGGGCTCCCGAAAGCCACAGGGGAGCCGGCTGGAGGTGCAGCAAGGCAGGCAAGCAGGCGGCGAGTCCCGGGGGGCACTGACCTTCGTGGTGGAAGCTCCTCACGGTGTTGGCACGGCTGGCCGACCTCTCGGGGTAGCGCAGGCGGGCGCCCCGGTGCGGGTCCCGGTCCCGGTCCCGGTCCTCGTCCTCGTCCTCGCCCGCCTGCAGGCGGTAGAGGTCCAGCATGTAGGCGGGCACGACGGCGGTGGGGCCGGGCTGGGGCCGCC